GGGGGGGGGGGGGGTGTGGAAGGGAAAGAACATCATCTAACTGTTACTTCATTGGCATTTTCTGTTATTGTTGCCTGTTGCCACTAACAAGAACGTAAGTTGTAATTCAAGTTATCCAGTCATATCTCAGTACAATGAGTGTGAATTCCCACAAGACAACGCCCTGCCTTTTAGCCTGTTTCCCTCTTCCTTCATCTGTGGTGTGTATGCTGTTCAGTTGTCATAAACACATGTGAGATTTATAGGACTGGGAGTGGGCATCTCTTATCTTTGTGACAAATTAGGTTAAGCAGCTCTGTATTAACAGTTGAGGTGTTACAAACTCTCATATCACATAATTAAAAATAAATACACACCCACATGCATTTTAAACTGAACTATAGTTGCTGTCTGGAGTTTTAATTTTTGGCATGATTATATTACTGAGCCTCTCCCATTTGCACAAATAAATTAGATTTGATAGTTTTGTGATTGGTATAAGCTATCATCTTTTTAATGAATGATCTCCAGGGCGTTTTAGCAAAAGTAAAATTCCTCATTAAATATGGCAAAAAAAAAAAAATGATTTGCACTTTGATATTCAAGCCCGTGTGGTCTTTAATATGGAAACCTTAAGAAAGACAAAAATGAGAATTTATTTCTTTGGTTTTTGACATATTAAAGAGAAGTGACAAATGATAAATAAGATTGTCAGAATGACACTGACACAAAAGTTTTTCCAGCTTACTTAACGTGGAAGAGTTTCTGGCTGTGCCTTAATGCACTAAGGGAATTCTCTGGTCATTCTGTGAACCGTGGAGAGGAAGGGTGTGCGGCTGTGCTGAAATAATATATGAATTTCTAAAGAATCACCAGGCTTATCTCTTAAGAGCTGAATCTAGAACTTGATGAGAATTTCTTTTTTTTTTTAATTTTAATTTTTTTTAATGTTTTTATTTATTTTTGAGACAGAGAGAGATAGAGCATGAGCAGGGGAGGGACAGAGAGAGAGGGAGACACAGAATCTGAAACAGGCTCCAGGCTCCTAGCTGTCAGCACAGAGCCTGACGCGGGGCTCGAGCTCACGGACTGTAAGATCATGACCTGAGCCGAAGTCGGAAGCCCAACCGACCGAGCCACCCAGGCGCCCCGATGAGAATTTCTACACTATCATTTGTTTCCAGTTTTACTGAGAAATAATTGATACATATCACTATGTAAGTTTAAGGTGTACAGCATGATACATTGATCTACATGTACTGTGAAATGATGACCACAGTAGGTGCAGCCAACATCCATCTTCTCATTTATGTGCAATGAAAAGAATTTCTATAGCTACAACAAAAAAAAAAAAAAAAAGGAAAAAGGATTTTTTTTTGCTTGTCATGAGAACACTTAGGCTCTACTCTCTTAACCCCTTTCCTGTATACTGCACAGCAGTGTTCGCTGTAGTCACCATGTTGTACATGGCATCCCTGGTACTCCTTCATCTTATAACTAGAAGTTTTGTCATTTTTGCTGATGTATTTTGATATTTTAATGTTAATATATTTGTTTGTCGCTTTGGTGGCAAGACCGTTATCACTTAGAAGCCCTAAGAAAATTTAAAAAAATTAAATCCTTTATTTAATTTAATTTAATTTTAATTTTTTTTTCAACGTTTATTTATTTTTGGGACAGAGAGAGACAGAGCATGAACGGGGGAGGGGCAGAGAGAGAGGGAGACACAGAATCGGAAACAGGCTCCAGGCTCTGAGCCATCAGCCCAGAGCCTGACGCGGGGCTCGAACTCACGGACCGCGAGATCGTGACCTGGCTGAAGTCAGACGCTTAACCGACTGTGCCACCCAGGCGCCCCAATTTTATTTTAATTTTTAAAAAATGTCTTATTTATTGTCGAGAGAAAGAGAGACAGAGCATGAGCGGGGGAGGGGCAAAGAGAGAGGGAGACACAGAATCCGAAACAGGCTCCAGGCTCCGAGCTGTCAGCACTGAGCCTGATGCCGGGCTCAAACTCGTGAACTGTGAGATCATGACCTGAGCCAAAGTCGAACATTCAACTGACTGAGCCACCCAGTTGCCCCTAGATCCTTTAGAATTCAAGAAAATTTTAAATATTTAGGATAATTTGTTCTTAACCAGAAGTGAAAAAATTTATTGAAATATTGGAAATTAATACTCCCGAATTATTTTTCAGTTGCCCAAAATGTCATCAGAATGGGGAAACATCACGTGCAGATAGAGGATGTAGATGTGGAGGTTATGGCCAAGCCAGTTCCATTAAATTCGGGAGTCAGATTCCAGGTAACACGTTGATTAAAGCTTTTTAGAATTCTGTTAGATGTGAGCACTTTTCTCATCCATATTTCTGAATATGAAATGATTTCCCAGGTTCATGTAGAAGTGTCTAAAGTGAAGATCAATGTTACTGAAATTCCTGATGAATTGCCTGAAGATCAGATGAGAGACAAGCTAGAACTGAGCTTTTCTAAGTCCCGAAACGGAGGTGGAGAAGTGCTATGCGTGCAGTATGATAAGCAGTCCCGGAGTGCTGTGATTACATTTTTGGAAACTGGAGGTATTCACACACGTAGGAAGTTAAAAAATACTCTACCATTTATATTTATGTTTGCCATTTCTTTAAAAAAATTTTTTTTAAACGTTTATTCATTTTTTGAGAGATGGAGAGAGACAGAGCATGAGTGGGGGAGGGGTAGAGAGAGGGATGAAGACACAGAATCTGAGGCAGGCTCCAGGCTCTGAGCTATCAGCACAGAGCCCGATGTGGGGCTCAATCCCACAGACCGCGAGATCATGACCTGAACCCAAGGTGGACACTTAACCGACTGAGCCACCCAGGCACCTCTATGTTCTGCCATTTCTGAAAGTACTCCTTTGCTACTTCTTCTATTTGGAATTTATTAAATAGAATAATAGTAGATTTTTAAAAAACCTTTTAAAATGGTGGAGTCCTGAGAATGATTTCTGTGAATGCTACTGAGAATAATATTTCAAGCACATCAACTTTGTGCATTCTTAGCACATGGCAGGCAAAGAGCCAGGTGTTCTATACATGTGTCTCCTCTTATCCATAGCACAATTCTGGAGACAGGTGTCGTACCCATTTTATTGATGTGGAAACTGAGTCCTAGGGAGGGTAAATAATGAACCCCAAATTATAGTGAGTATGTGGCAGAGAAATTTAGAAATACATATGTATAAACTATCACTTCCTATCCCACCTATTAAGATGGACAACGGTCTCTTAGTTGGAGGGAGTAGATTCCAGGGAAGGCAAGGCATGAATGGAAAGGAGAAATGGAGTTTTTACCAAATCATCTGAGGGGGCTTTACATTCTTATGATTAAAAATATACTATTTGGGATGCCTGGGCGGCTCAGTTGGTTAAGCATCTGACTTTGGCTCAGGTCATGATCTGACATTCGTGGATTCGAGCTCTGCATGTGGCTCTGTGCTGACGCCATGGAGCCTGGAACCTGCTTCAGATTCTGTGTCTCCCTCTCTCTCTTCCCCTCTCCCATGCACGCGGTCTCTCTCTCTCTCAAAAACTAAACATTAAAAAAAATACACAATTCTACAGCAGCTGCTTTTGTTAATATGTTCAAGTGATTCTCAATGTAAAAATATCTTGCTCTAGTTAATCCAGTTCTTAGGGTTTCTCCTGGGTTGGCATATGTAAAAGAAAGCCAGGTATACAATTTAAAAAAAACATTGATTGTTTATTTCATAACAAAGTAATACATGCTTTTTAAAGAAACTTGGTAATAAAGAGCAGGGGCTCCTGTCGGGCTCAGTTGGTGGAGTGTGCAACTGTTGATCTTGGGGTTGTGGGATCGAGCCCCATGTTAAGTGTAGAGATTTATTTAAAAAAATAAAATTAAAAAAAAAAAAGAAGAGCATTAACTTAGTAAAACTGGAGACATTTCCTTAAACTTGCCTTTCTCCTACTATTTAATTAGTTATGGTTACTTGAGTGGCTTTCTAGATCTTTCTGGAAATCCTGGATCATATGGTGATTCTATGTTTAATGTTTTGAGATGACATACTATTTTCCACAGTGGCTCTACCATTTTATATTCTTACCAGCACTGTACCAGGGTTTCAATTTCTCCACATCCTTGCCAGCAGGGGCCTGGCCTCTTAACCACTGCACCATATTGCCCATCCAACATGGACTGGTGAGAGGTGAAAAAGCATACATAGTGATACGATATTCTTAAGTACTGTTTCTGTTAAACTTGATGCAATCTGAAACATTATTTTTTTCCCCTCCAGGAGAAAAATGCTGCTCAAAATAAATCTGATTATTCTTTGTGCTGGAGAAAACTGATGAATTTTTGTTATTTGCCTTCAGTTTCTTTTTTTTTTTTTTTTTTAATTTTTTTTTTTCAACGTTTTTATTCATTTTTGGGACAGAGAGAGACAGAGCATGAACAGGGGAGGGGCAGAGAGAGAGGGAGACACAGAATCGGAAACAGGATCCAGGCTCTGAGCCATCAGCCCAGAGCCTGACGCGGGGCTCGAACTCACAGACCGCGAGATCGTGACCTGGCTGAAGTCGGATGCTTAACCGACTGCGCCACCCAGGTGCCCCTTTGCCTTCAGTTTCTAGATAACGATCAAATCCCTCCCCTCCCTTGGTTAACATCATTATATCAGCTTACTGAAAAATATCATGTATTAGTTATAGGACAACTAAGTAATTTTATATAAAATTTTATGTATTGTAGTAATATAGTAATTATATATGTGTGTATACATGTATATTGTAAAATGTATATATACAGTATTCTTTTTTTTTTTAAGTTTCTTCTATTTTGAGAGAGAGAGAGTGAGTGTGTACAAGCAGGTGAGGGACAGAGAGGGAAAGAGAGAAAATCCCCCACAGGGCTCAAACTCATGAACTGTGAGATCATGATCTGAGCCTAAATCAAGTGTTGGATGCTTAACCTAGGGGAGCCACCTAGGCGCCCCTATATACAGTAATCATAGTTTTCAATTATACTTCTTGAGAAACTGGGAAACTCACAGTCTTGTTAGGATGGGTGGGCTACTTTTTGCATATGGTTATTGCATTTTATGGAGCTCAAAGTAGATCTGTCTGAGGACATCACAAACTTCTGCATTGACTGATTGCAGTGGATAGTTCAAGACAGAAGATCTATTTAAACCCCATTATTGTTTGGTCTTATATTTTCCAAAATTATGTACTGCAGAGTCTTTAAAGTGGACTGTTGAATTTTTTGTAGAATTTTTAAAAATGTAATCACTAAATTCACTATTTACTGTGATGTTTCATTTGAAGAAAGTTTTAACTTTGGTTAAAAATGTTTATGATATTAAAAAGAAAATAATTTTTTTAAAATCTACTTCTAGTTGCTGACAAGATTTTGAAAAAGAAAGAATATCCGCTTTGTATAAATCAAAACTGCTATAGAGTTATTGTTTCTCCATACATAGAAACAGACTTGAAAAATTTTCAGGTAAAGTCATCTCTTTCCTTCATTTTGAGAACTTATTGCTTAACCCCCACCTCACAAGAAATAAAGAAGTTGTGTCTGTTACTGTTTGAGACTTATTAGTGAGCAATATCAAAATAGTTTCTTCAGATCTGCTTGGTGCAAAATAAGTGTGTCTTTTTTAAAAAATATTTTAGTGTGAAATTATACCTTATTTAATTTATTACACTCTTTTTAAAAACTGAAAGTACTCAGGTAATGACATAATATTTTTGTATATGGAGACATAGCTACATATCTTTCATGTGTCTACTGTCATTGGGCATTAAAAATGATTCTTCCTGCTCATTTTCTCTGAACTCATTATCCGTACCCCAACCTCCTTTTTTCTGTTCCTACTTAGGTACTAAATGGCACCACAGTCTTACATAGTCCACCAACCTGAAAGCTACAGCTCATGCTTAATTCCTCATTTTGCTTCACCTCCAACATTCATTTGGTCATTCAGTCTTGTTACTTCCACCTCTGACTACTTCTGTCACTATGGTCCTTCTGTCCATAGGGATGCCCTTCTTTCCTCCATTTGTCATAATGCTGCCTGAGTTATCTTTCTGAAACTCAGATCCGACTTAGATATTCTGTTGCTTGAAAAGTCGTTCTGAGGCTCCTTGTCTCTTCTAAGATAAGGTCTGAAGTATTAAGCAGAGCTTATAAAGTTTTGCAATTCAAATGTCTTAGAAAAGTTTCTATTTATCTTTTGTATTTTCCTTTTAGGCATTTTCAGGAATATCTAGGAGGACAGTGCTTCTCACTGGAATGGAAGATCTTCAGATGATGGATGAAGAAATTTTAGAGGATTTAGTTAACATTTACTTTCAACGGGAGACGAATGGAGGTGGAGAAGTAGAAGTGGTCAAGTGTTCTCTAGGTCAGGCTTGCATAGCATACTTTGAAGAATAGAGGCATGGAATTAGATGAATATTAGAGTTTCTGAGCCCAAAGCACTGTCCATGTGTGACAAAAATGAATATCCCTTTCCTTTAAAAAATGAAAACTTGAATTCTTAAGTGTCCATTTATTCTTAGATACAAAAATATATTTCCATGTTTTTGAATTCTTGTTTCAAACTCTGCTGCATGCTTGCAAGTGCAGTAAATGTACTGTATTAAAAAGTTTTGTTTGTTCATAAATGATGTGGACAGGTGCCATGTCCATTGAAATCAATCATAAGTGATGCAATTGTCCCCCTGCTATGTTGGCTCATTCTGTCGTGGGCATGTGGGCCAATTCTCTTTTGGCCCCAGGTCCACCAGCATGCAGACTTCACTCAACATTTCCCAAAGAACTGTTATATTCAGCTGTTTGTGATTTCTGTAGACTTTGAATTTCAAGGAACTTCAAGGGTGATAATTTCCCTCTTTCCCATTGTATAGCATTTTACTCCAGAGCCCCAAAGATATTTTTCAGAGCTGAGTGTTGTCTTTTTATTTAACATTTTCTTCTCCCAGAGTGTCAAGGGTCCCCTGATTCTTTCCAAGACACCTTTGTCAAATAGAACTTGTAAAGGCCATAATTGTCTTTCCTTTACACTTGTAAGGGGAAGAATAAGCTTAAGGGAATGACATCCTTAGAATAAAGGGAGAGGTGAATGCAAAGCTAGGGACTCCTCACTTATCATGCTGGATGCAGGGGAGTGCCTGACGATGAAAGCACGTGCCTTTGAGTTTGAGAGAGACCCAGTTCCTTAGCATCCCATTGTTTTTAAGTTGTAGAAACGAAACAGTAAAATGCAAGGTTTCTATTCAGAGAAGGTAAAATTCTTTTTGGTAAAGAACATGTGAACAGCTTTTATCCTAATATGGTATGTTTCATAAGGAGCCAATGGCAGAAGGAAGTTTATATTAAAATGCTGGCAGAAATAAAAAGCTTTAGAAAAAGATTCTATACCAAAACTTAACTCATGCTGCCTGCCATCTAAAATAAAGGAAAGGGGCACCTGGGTGGCTGAGCCGGTTAAGCATCTGACTCCTGATTTCAGCTCAGGTCATCATCTCATGGTTTGTGAGTTTGAGCCCTGAATCGGGCTCTGTGCTGACAGTGTGGAGCCTGCTTGGGATGCTGTCTCTCTCTTTCTGCCCCTCCTCTGGTCACAGTCTCTCTCCTTCTCTCTCAAAATAAATGAACTTAAAAGAAGATCTCGTTGCTTTCACATTTCTCTTTAGAATGAGAGATGGTGCCTAAAAACTGGAAATTTATAATAAATCTTCATATTCACTGTCTTAGGGGAAAAATGTCTCATATATCAGTTCTTTGGGAATAGTAAGCTTATTTCAAGCTCAAAATATTGAGAAAAATTTGAAGAATCTTATTTAATTTTGATTGGCACAAAAGGTATGATTTTTAGCCTGTGGCAGACAGACAATCAGAAAGAATGTTTTCCTAATATTTAAGGCAAGGTTTGGAATAGTCACTTTTGTTTCTTTTGGGAGCATTTTTTCAGCAGCAAAATAGATAATTTCATTCAATTCTAAATATTCACAATTTTTTGATAAATGTTTTTGATAAATGTTACTTACCATAGAAAATCAGACTTGGGCTCCTTTCACCAATTCCACCCTTGTGTGATCTGCCCAGATCTCAGAAATCAACCATTGGCTCTCCTGTCTACTTTTAGAGTTTTAGAGATTTTACAGGAAGAAAGTTTCCTTTGAGAATTTGCCAAAAGATATCGACTCTTGCGTATTAAGTTAGGAAGCCTTAGATTGTCTAGGAAGAGATAGCTCTACTTAATGTATGAAAAGACACTGTCAGCATATAAGTCAGGAAAGATAATTATGTGAAATCATGAATCCCTCTTGCCCTTTGTAGATTTATCAGTCAGGATAGCTTAGGTTCTGTTGTATTAACAACCTCCCAAATCTCTGAGGCTTAATGAAACAAAAGTTTAATTCTCATTCATGTTGAAAGTTCAACAGAGGTTGGTAGGGGGAGTCTTTTTGTCCTAATCACTTATGGCCCCATCTCAAGACACGCTTCCCAAATCATGGAGGTGGAGAAAAATGAAGTCTGCAGAGTCTTGCACCAGCAATTAAATGTGGTAATTTAGAAGTGCTGATGTCATTTTGTCTCACATCTCATTGGCCAGAAATAGTCATATGACCTCACTGAAAGAGAATGGAACTAGAAAATTATATCTTGTAAAAATGAGAAGAACCAGATATAGTTGAGCCAAAATATCAATGAATGTAGTTTTTCCTGTCCTAGTGATCATCAATATTTGTTGTTTTGTTTGTTTACTTATAGTTTTTTCAATGTTTATTTCTGAGAGAGACAGACAGACAGAGACAGAGACATTGCACAAACAGGGGAGGGGCTGAGAGATAGGGAGACACAGAATCCGAAGTAGGCTTCAGGCTCTGAGCTGTCAGCACAGAGCCCAACACGGGTCTTGAACTTGCGAACTGCACGATCATGACCCGAGCTGAAGTCGGATGCCCAACCAACTGAGCCACTCAGGCACCCCTGATCATCAATATTTGGATCACTCTTCTTCATACACAAAATGCACGCACACCAAAAAGTTGCCCTAAGTCATAGCATCAAACTCAAAAGTGCATGAACTCTAGGCGGTGTGTGGTAGTTTTTATAACAAGTCTGAATGTTACTCCTCTTTATCCAGAGACACCCCCCCCCTCCCCGGTATTCAGTAGTGGAACTGGAACAAGATAACTGCAATAAACTCTCTCATTTGGAGAAAGAGATCAATAGGAGACATATAGTGGCCTCTAGGCCAAAGCCATTCTGCCATCTCCCTGAGTAGATATATACTCCATACACCCTGGGTGCGGAATTTTGATTAGGCCATGATTCCACTCTGGAAATTCTTCTCTTGCTCATTGTCCTCATAGTTCCTGGACATTCTTCTTTTTCCATTATCCTCCTTTACCATATATAGAATATATCCTTCTTGGAAGTTGAAAAGCTTGCTTACTGTGTACACTGTGATCAATGTGATCAATGTTTGGGACCAACGTTTTTAAAGTTTTGAACCATTATAGTCTCTTTACTCTGGCTGGTGGCTAGTTGGCTGGTACAGTTCAAAAACTTGGTAGGCGGCTTATCTATTTTTTGGGGTCAGCTTACCTGTGCTAACAGCCACACTGGCAGCTTTTTCTAGACTTCTTACAGTTGCTGTAATTCTCCACTTTCTTCCCTGTTCTTTTCTCTCCCTATCTTTACTTAATTGTAGGTATCAGGCCACTTTTAGTTTCTTTTCCCTTAGCTAGTTTGTCTAGTTGAAAGGGTTATTGAATTCAGAACATTAATTGTTTGTTGTTGCTGTTGTTGTTGTTCTGAGGGACCTTAACCTGTTCAGAGATCCAAAGCTTGATTTGATCATTGATTTGAGCCTCCCAATAAAGCAGAGTTATAATCAGTCTTTGTTACTCAAAGGTGTTATCATTTGGAAATGAGCAGTATTTTTCCTTCCAATCCTACAAGTTCCCATATTTCTGGACTTTCTCTATTTACTTTCATTCTGGCATTCAAAATGGCTGATTCTTTTCTAAGCTCATTTCTTTTTTATATTACTTTGTCAAATGCACTCAGTAGTAACAGACATATGCTACTAATTTTGTTTTTCACACCCTGTTTCAAAAAAAAACAACAAGCTAATTAGGTACATATCTGCCTTCCAAGCTATCACATGTGACAGTTTTACCAAATGTTTTCCACTATATAATATGGATCGCCATCCTTCTAATCTCTGATAATTATTTTCTAATCACTTGCCAATTGTCCCTAAACCAAAGCCATGTATTTTAGATTGTGTCGTGGATTGTCTCCCCCCCCCCCCCCCCCGCTTTTGGCTAAAGCAATACTCCACTTCAGAATACCAATTCTGTATCAATCAGGATAGATTACATGATACTCATGTGCCAAGTTATCTCTAAATTTCAGAGACCAAAACACAAAATTTTACTCTTTGCTTATGCTACATGTCCATGATGGGTCAACAAAAAGAATGCTCATGGTAAATACTCAGGGACCCAAGCTAATGGCAGCCACCATCTTTATTGATGTATATCATACCAGAGGAAAAGAGCTGTGAAGGGTCTTGAAGTGGTAATTAAATTCTTGGTCCAGAATGACCCTTTCATTCTCAACCAGAACTAGGTATATGGCCCCACCCAACTGTAAAGGAGCTTGGATGTACAATCCTATCATATGCTTGGAAGGCAGAAAGCCAAAACTGTACAGTAAATGGCATTAATGATATCTGGTTGGTATTGAAAAAAAAAAAGATGCTCATACTTGAAAGATACACAAAATATAATGAAAATAATAAAAATTGTCAAAAATTCACACCCACATAATGGTAACATTTTTATGTCCTCCTTTCCAATTTTTTTTCCTAACCATATATCACATTTTATTTTGTGAACATACCCTATTTCTAGGGTTACTATTCCCCTATTGTAGGATATTAAGATTGTTTCTAGTTTTTCACATGTGTATGTGCTATGATGTGTATACATCCTTTTATATCTCTTAATATAAATCTTTTTCTGCAGTTCTGATCCTATTTCAAGGTGATAATTACTAGGTTCATAGGGTGAAGGATACAAATTCTTTTAAATATCATGTGTATGGATACAATTGCTTTCAAGAAAGGCAGGCATTGGTCTATATTTTATTAAAAATGTAATAAGGACTATTTTGTTGCTCCCCTTTCAGCATTGAGTACTGCTCCTTTAAAAGTGACTTTCTTTTTATGCTGTTTTTAGAAATCTTCACAATGTATGCTACATCTTTTGAAATTAGATAATTAACAAGATAGAGGTGAAATATCGATAATGGGTTTTGTTTTTGTTTTTTGGTATCACAAAAATATCCAGGAAAGTGTCAACCAATTTGATTTTACTTAAGCTATGATTCAGAGAAAAGTACAGTGAGATGGGAGGCCCCATTACTGGGGCTGTAAGGGATTAAAATATTTTTTTGGATGCAGTTTCAGTAATAAGCTGCTAGAATTATTTTGGCCACATTTGGAGTCAGGCTTCCTCAAGGATTGTTTGGCACTTTAGGGGAGGAAACAACCCTCCTAGAGTCCTTGGCTGGATCTGGAAATTAAACTGACAACGCCAGATTAACAGGAGAAAAGCACAGAAATGTATTTAATATAAATTTTATGTGATGTGGGAGCCTTCATAAGGAGAAGAAGACTTCCACTTGTGCACTGTAACTTCAGTTCTTAAAGTGCAACTGCTAAGTGTAAGGATATGTGCATTTTCACACTTTTCACTACATTTTGAAAGGGGTCAAAATCCTTAGAAATGTTTGCACCTGTCAATGCTTGCAGCAGTATGGATTCTTCCTCACACTCTGGCCAACACTGGGTATTACTGCACTTTTTAATTGTTACCAACCTCATGGTGGAAACAAGGGATCTCATTATAATTTCAATTTGTATTTCTTTACTTAGGAGTGGAACTGAGCTTCTTTGTATTTGCCAGCCATTTGCCTTTCTTCTTCCTGCTGTCTTTGACTTTGAAGCCATGTATGTAGATTACTCGTGTCCCTCTAGGTGCCAGACTCTGAAGTCCGAATGGCTTGTGCAAGGTCAGCTAGGTTGACAGGGACCGAGCGCTTTTCAACCCGTGCCCTGTGCACCTGGCCGCCGCGCGACTGGCCCTGGGCTGGTGGGGGGAACAGGTGTGGCGTGGTGAAGAGTCCCACGAGTGAGGGGTTCACGAGTCCCACGAGTGGGGGCGCAGAAAGGACGGTCCAGATTCCACTGAGCGCGGGACAGACACAGCAGCGGGAGAAGCCCCGGAGTACTGCCGGGGATTCCTTCTGGCCCCTCTCCAGCGTGGTTTCAAAAGTTATGGGACTACAGAGGCAGCAGCCATCCCAGGTCTGAGCTTCACCCGGAGGCCAAGAGGCGCAGAGCAGCGGGATGCTGTGGAGGGGCAGGTTTTGTTTTTTTTGTTTTTTTTTTTGTTTTTTTCCCACATCGTCTCCAGGCTAGCGTCAACAAAGAACTGAAAGCAAAACCTTCTTCCGGCCAGCCTTGTGGCCTGTGCTCCGCTAGATTTGGGCCCTGCAGGCAGCGGAAGGCGCGTCTCTTCTCCGCCATGGCAAGTTACTTTTGTTCTGGCTTTTACCAGTCAGGGTCTTTCCCGTCCCGTTATCACGGTCCCACAGGAGCGCGCGGAGCCGGGCGGGCGGGGGTGAGAGGCTGTCGCCCGCGGCGCGCGGGGAGGCCCGGTGCTGGCGGAGAGCCACCTGCCGCGGAGGCCAACCCTCCGGCAAACCTTGCCCTGACTTTTCTGCACCTGCTCCTGTGGCAGTGTCGCGCGCGCTTGAAATTCATAGCAGGCTGTGCGAGACAGGCACAACTCCAAAGGGACAGAACGCCACGGTCGCCTCCCTCACCCAGTGTCTCGTAGTCAGGGACACAGCTGTCTCGTCGAGGAGTAGTTTCGCAGGCTGTGTTTGGGCTTAACTGTTGCCTCCCACTCCTCCCACTCCTTGGGGAACAAGAGCGGAGAAAATTACCCAGAAATAGAGGCCGCTGTTTCCTTTTGAAAAGGGCCAGCAAGAAGGATTCGAGCCAAGGACTCAAGTTGGGAAGGCATCCTGATGTCTTGTCTGCATTAGTGGGAATTCTCTCTGGTGGCCTTAGTTCTTTTTCCAGGCACAAAGGGCTCTGTGTTTTCGCCATCTGTGCTGGCTAGCAAGAACTGTTAGCAAGTTCAAGATTGAGCCTTCTGTGTTCTTTCCATCAGGCGCTTGAAGGCAGTGGCAGGGCCTTTAGTTATTAGGGTCCCGGAAATGCCAAAGCAGTTGCTAGATTCCAGTATGATTTTGTTTATTGGTAGCAGTAAAGGCAACGTCAATGAAAATAACTGATTTTTTAAAAAAAGAAATATACATGGATGCAAGGAATGAATAATTATTTCTGTCTAGTGCCTTACTTATAAAAACAAAACTAACAGTTTTTCTTTATATCTTCTGGCTTTCTGACACTATGGTCTGAAGTATCTTAAAATATATCATTGATACTGGAAAATGTCATCACCTTAATACCTCTTGGCTAAAATGCTGGTCTTGCTTCAAAATCCTGTATCTCTGTGGTGACTGTTGCAAGAGCTATTTTCAAGACATCTCTTTTTCTTATTGCTGGATAGAAGAGGTTAATAGCTGTCAGGGAGAAGTTCCTTTAATTTCAAGGATAAATTAAATGCAGACACTTGAATAAAGAAATAATGGTGTTAGTATTGATGAAGGCACAGGTGGAGTAAGATTTCCTGAATTTAAATTTATTGAAAGTTTTTCTTTGACGTTGATGAAAAGCAAAAAGGAAGCTAATTTACTAGCCATTTAACCATTGAGGTTGGTGTGGACTATTAGAGCCAGATGTTGTATACAGACAAATCTCCTGTGAAGTAGAATTCCTGAAAAATCTCTTGTCATTTCTTTTCCTCTGCTAGGAAGAACTATTTTGGGATAATTATGTCATACCAGTTGGGACTAGGATGGAGGAACACATATATTTTTAATATTTCCTATGCAATCTAGTTGTGAATATTTGAAGAAACTATGTTTTCCTCCATTAAAAGTATCTTTTGTAACAAATACTTGATAGATTATTATGAGTTTCATTTTTAGGAGACACTTTGTTTTATATGTCTCAACATGAGCCATTTTCGTCTCCTATTCCTCTGTCCCTTTGCTACTGTCGTGAACTCTTCTTTTGCATTTTTTTTTTTAATTTTTTTTCAACGTTTATTTATTTTTGGGACAGAGAGAGACAGAGCATGAACGGGGAAGGGGCAGAGAGAGAGGGAGACACAGAATCGGAAGCAGGCTCCAGGCTCTGAGCCATCAGCCCAGAGCCTGACGCGGGGCTCGAACTCACGACCGCGAGATCGTGACCTGGCTGAAGTAGGACGCTTAACCGACTGCGCCACCCAGGCGCCCCTCTTCTTTTGCATTTTTAAATTAAATTTGACCATTAATTAAAATTTGACCTCAGCCTTCAAGGCTTTTCTTTCATGAAGCTTTCTTTGACTGCTTTAGCCAGAGTTAATCTTGCTTCCTAATCCTGGATGGTATCTATTGTATATTTTAGCATTTTATTTTGGATGGTCTTGTATCCTTCTCAAATCGTCTGTTTTCCTGTGTAGAGAAATATGTCTCCTTTTTTGTGCCTACCAAGCTCTGTTGAAATGATGTATTTATGTGTCTGCCTTTCTCTCTCATCCCTCTCTCATCCATAAGGTAGAGGCCTTTATTTTAAATATTGGTAATCCTAAGGCCTATCCAAGGCTATCCCCACATAATAAAGCTCAGTAAATTTTTATGGGGGAACCAAATTTTAGGGCATGGGGTATGTTTTATTTCTTTGTGTGTGTCATCTATGGTACCCATTATATTGCCAGACATAGAACACATGCTTAGTTATTACTGTATTTGTTAACTGATTAACTGTATTTTGTATTACTGTATTATATTAACTGTAGTTGTATTACTGTATTTGTTAATTGACAAGACACTATGTAGTCTAAGAAATTCAGTGTACACTGTGAACTTAAAAACACTTTTTCATCAGGTGCATTTTTGCCACCTGATTTTAACACTTTTTTTTATTTTTAGTTTTTTAATTAATTAATTATTTACAACCAAAATCCACCAATATTTTGAGAAAACGTAAATGCCATAAAATGAAGTGCAAATATCACCAAGTGAAAGAATCAACACCTAACGAAAGAATTACTAGAGCACACAGATGATTTTTAAGTACCTTGCAACATACTACTCAACACTTTTTAAAAAAATGTTTATTATTTATTTTTGAGAGAGAGAGAGAGAGAGAGAGAGAGAAGAGAGAGGCAGAGCATGAGTGGGGGAGGGGGAGGGAGAGAGAGAGACCTAGAATCCAAAGCAGGCTCCAGGCTCTGAGCTGTCAGCACAGAGCCGGATGTGGGGCTCTAACTCACAAGCCATGAGATCATGACCTGAGCTGAAGTCGGACTCTTTACTGACTGAACCACCCAGGCGCCCCTTGCCACCTGATTTTGACAACTACTAGCTGAAATACCAAAGAGATGCTGAGAGAGTATATATCCTTGGGGCAGGCATCATTGACTTTCATCATTTTCTGTTGAATTCCTACTATGATACATGAGGATTTCACTTAAGTAATATCTGCCTTTTCCTACCTTCCAAGTTTGAAAGTTTTAATATTATTTAAAAATTTCCTATGGCATATTTTTGTAGCTTCCAAAATATTCTTAAAATTTTGATAGAATGACCTGCTTTTCAGTAGTGTAAGAGGAGATTATTTTTTTCTCAACTTCTGTTAGTTCAGCCTTTATTCTTAAATTGGCAGGGTTGAATGTTTCCATTTTATTCTGTAGTCATACTTAAATCTTAGTATTTCAGAGACTTAACAAAATTAGTCTAAAGTTGGTTTAAAAACCAATAGGAGTTTTTACATTATTTTGCAAATAGTAAATACTGTTTATAGCCGCGCCTAGTACTGTGCTGTGATTACTTTTTCTCCTTTTAGTCCAATGCCATGTGTATTTTTCCTTTTCCACTTGACAGGCAAATGTTCCCAGCAGCAGTGTCAATTGGACTGGCAATTTTTGGTACTGTATAAATTAATTCAAATCGTGCCACACTTCAGTTTGCTTATGATCTTTAGGTTGGAGTCCCTTCAAATGCCAGAAAGCAGTGGAGACTTGCTATAGGTGCCAGCACCCATACTAGCAGGTCAGATTCTCCCTAAGTGTTCATTTAGTTTTTTTTAAGGTAAAATAATCTTTAAGTCATCTGCCCCGGCCCCCCTTCCACCCCAGCCACAGATTGTCACCCAGCTGCCTTCACTGGGTGTGTGTGTGTGTGTGTGTGTGTGTGTGTGTGTGTGTATGTGTGTGTGTATGTATGTGTATGCAGGGAGGGTAAGGAATGTGGAGAGACAACTGGAGAAGTTGTTTTGCCACTAGTTTTTCAACTGATCTTTCTGGTTTTGGTCCCTTTTTTCATTTCTGTTGTCACCTTTCCCGTGAAACCCCCTTTCCTTGTTCAGGGTTAGATCCTTTTCTCTCTCTTATCCTTCTCATACTTCTATATATTTTCAGTCTTCCAGAAATGTGTCAACTGGGCTTATTCTCCTTTTTATTCTTATTCTTTACTTTTATTGTTTTACTTGCTGTTGGGATGGACAGGATGCTGTGTACTTAGACTGTCTTCTTGACCGGAGGTCAGAAATAGCTAGCTTACACCCAGCGAAATCCTATTCTGAGTACAGAGTCCTCTGAACTGACAGCCCTACACATCTTTGTGATCTGTTAGCCTTATGAGATATCCTGTCTTCCCTGGAGGTAATTTAGGATAGATTAAGTCTGAGCTGTGTTATAATCAGGCTGGACTACCTATGTAAGCACTGAGAACAGCTGATAGGCCCACTTCCCTAAATGGGCTGGGGAACAAATCAAAACATTGAAACCGAAGCCCTTTACCTGAATAATGTAAGAAGTTCGAAGAGAGTGAGCTCAGGGAAGGGTCTACTTGCAGTTGGTGCTCTGTGCTCAGCATAGTGGCGGAGTCTTCAATACCATATGCTCTTAGTTGTTGAATTCTATCTCACGTATGTGCCTGAAGGCAGGATTTACTTCACTGCAGCCCCACCATTATGGCCAGGGTTTTATTTATTTATTTTTTATGGGGCCCTTTTTTTCTAATTCTGACCAAAAAAAGTAGGGGATGTGTTTCGTAGTGGGTTATGTGCTTTGGACTGTACAATTGAGAAAACATCTAGCCAGACACAAATAGACACTTTTCTAAAGAAGACATCCAGATGGCCAACAGGCACATGAAAACATGCTCAACGTCACTCCTCATCAGGGAAATACAAATCAAAACCACACTGAAATATCACCTCACACTAGTCAGAGTGGCTAAAATGAACAAATCAGGAGACTATAGATGCTGGAGAGGATGTGGAGAAACGGGAACCCTCTTGCACTGTTGGTGGGAATGCAAACTGGTGCAGCCGCTCTGGAAAACAGTGTGGAAGTTCCTCACAAAATTAAAAATAGATCTACCTTATGACCCAGCAATAGCACTGCTAGGAATTTACCCAAGGGATACAGGAGTGCTGACGCTCAGAGGCATGTGTATCCCAAGGATTATAGCAGCACTTTCAACAATAGCCAAATTATGGAAAGAGCCTAAATGTCCATCAACTGACGAATAGATAAAGAAGATGTGGTTTATATATACAATGGAATACTACTTGGCAATGAGAAGGAATGAAATCTGGCCGTTTGTAGCAATGTGGATGGAACTGGAGAGTATTCTGTTAAGTGAAATAAGTCAGGCAGAGAAAGACAGCTACCATATGCTTTCACTCATGTGGATCCTGAGAAACTTGACAGAAGACCATGGGGGAGAGGAAGGGGAAAAAAAAGTTAGCGTGCTACAGAGATGGAGGGAAGGAGGCAAACCATAAGAAACTCAAAAACTGAGAATAAACTGAGGGTTGATGGGGGGTGGGGAGGGGAAGTGGGTGATGGGCATTGAGGAGGGCACCTGTTGGGATGAGCACTGAGTATTGTATGGAAACCAATGTGGCAATAAATAATATATATATTGTATATATATTATATATATATAAATATATATAATATATAATGATAATAAATACTACACACATATAAATTTATATAATAAACATATAATATAAATATATAATATATAAATATATATAATATAAATATAAATTTATTTATAAATTTATAAATATAAAATATATATACTATAAATATAAATATATATAATATATATACATTATATATATAAAGAAAACATCTAGCCATCTTCAAACTACCATATTTTGTGGTTGGCTTGACTTGTTTTCAAACTTAAATTTTTACAATGTGTATTTCTTGATCTCTTCCTTTGTGATTGCTATTACTTTTAGGCCTTTCTAAAATCAGGCAAATATTAACTAATGTTTTCCATTTATAAAAAAAAATTGAGTTCACTTTTTACATTGTACCCCTCAAATTCATGTGGGGTTTATGTTGGTATATGACATGAGGCAAGGATCTGTCCTTTTTTTTTTTTTTCAAGTGTCTGATCAGCTATACTAGCACCTTTATTGAATAAAATATACTCTCTTCCACTGGTGTGTGATGATGGCTATATTAAGGAGAATCTTATTTTTGTATTTAAAGAGTATCCTACTATTGTTCTTACAGGCATCAGTTTTGAAAGGCAAGGACTCCAAAGCTTCTGAAAGAATGGTTGAAGTTGCTGGTCATCCGGTTGGCCTTTTTAATGATCAATTACTGACCACAGTAGTGCAGACTCACTTTCAAGATATTAAGAATAAAGGCGGAGTTGTTGAACATGTGATACATCCAACAAGAACCAGGGGCAGGGGAGTTGCAAATGTGACATTCAAAGAGAAAAAAGGTATTTCCAAATCAAATTTTGTAATTTTAGAAATACTTCTGTAATGAAATCAAGAACTGAATTTCATTAAAATGATTCATGGGATTGGTAGAGTTTAAAGTAGCATTTTGAAAATATTATTCTATTCTGAATATATTGGTACAATATTGTATTAACAAGAATGTATGTGAAAATGGCTCATGATAAAGTTGTTAGCAACTGCCAAATTCTTGAAGACTTCTTTCTATATTTAGAATCTGTCTGGATCTTGGGATGAAAGTGATGCATTTTATTGTAGAAAACTTGTAAAATACAGAAAAAGAAATGAAGCCCCCAAGAATCTATAATCTCACAAATATGATCACTCTGAATTTTCAAGTGGCTTCAGCAATATAGTCATACCATTAGCTTCTCTTTGTTCAAACCTAAAAAAAGATATTCTAATATAGCATCACCTTTATCACCGGTAAAGTTGGATTGGATGAATAGCTTGGATCTGAGATCAGATTGAGCCATTCTGTTCCTATCCCATCCCTGACATAGGTGAGGAGGTTGGATCTGCAGGGGATATTCATCCCTCCAGCCTCATGGAGAGGGGCAGCCTTCTTTACAGCTTAGTAACTGGCAAAATATATTGCCAAAGAAAGATGAGTCTCCATGCCAGCGTCTTGCAGGTAAAATACTATATGGGGTTAGAAGCAGAAGAGAACTTGCTTTTCCTGAGGGAAGATAGGTTCTAGAGAGAAACCTAAGACTATAGATTATAGCACCTTTACCTGTCACCATAGTTAAGTCATTCCTTCTCAATGGGGATGTTATGGTAGGGAGCATGGGAAGGGCTCCTTATTATTTCTCTCAGGGGATTGTTGTGTTTTTGAAAGTTAATATTTTAAACGTTCAACTGGTAACATTGAACCAAAGAGAGAAAAGGAAGGCTCATTCATTCATTTGTTCACAAATATTTTTGACTGCTTATTATTTACCTGGCACCATTCTAGGCCTTCAGGATACGACAATGAGTGAAGCAGGCAAAATGTTTTCTTTCATGAAACCTACATCCGTGCAGGTGGACAGATAATAAACTAGCAAATAAATGAATATATAATATGTTGGGTGCTTGATTAATTTATATATTTATACATTATATATTTATCTTTATGCTTATACATTTATTTGTGTATATTAACATGTAATGAGTGCTATAAAAAATATAAAACAGAATAAAGGGATAGAATGTGATGGAGAGTACTGCTTTATTAGATAGAGTGGGTGGGGAAGTACTCTTTAGGTGACATTTGAGCAGAGACCTGAATGAAATAATGGAATGACTCATGCAGATAAGGGGGAAGAACATTCTAGGCTAAGGGAAGGACTAGGAAACATTTTCTGAGAGGGTAGCATGCTGGGCATTTTTTTTTTTAATTTTTTTTTTTTTTCAACATTTATTTATTTTTGGGACAGAGAGAGACAGAGCATGAACGGGGGAGGGGCAGAGAGAGAGGGAGACACAGAATTGGAAACAGGCTCCAGGCTCTGAGCCATCAGCCCAGAGCCCGACGCGGGGCTCGAACTCACGGACCGCGAGATCGTGACCTGGCTGAAGTCGGACGCTTAACCGACTGCGCCACCCAGGCGCCCCTGCTGGGCATTTTAAAGACAGCAAGGCAGCCTGAGTGGCTGGAGCGGGGTGAGCAAGGGAGAGAGTAAAAGGAGATGTGGTTAGATGGGTAGCTGGGGACCAGATTATGTTAAACAGCCTATAGGTCAAGGCAAGGTGTCTGGATTTTATTCTGGGTGAGATGGAAAACCATCGGTGGGTTTTGAGCAGATGACTGATAAAATGTGACTGCCCTTTCTTCGGTGGTGGCTCTGGCAGCCACGTGGAGAGCACGAGTTCCTGGTCATCTCTGGTTTTTTCTAGGGTGGTAACAGGGCTGTTGACTGGGAACTGGTGGCCATTCAGGATTTGCTGATGGATTAGGTGTCATTTTCTGAGGTGTGGAACACTGGAGGAAGAGTACTTTTGGAAGGGGAATAGTTATCAAGATTTGAATTTTGGTCATTGAGATGTTTATTAGGATAATAAAGTAGAGATTTCCACTGGCAGATGAAAGTGGAGGCCAAAGAGAATTTGGAAATGATGCATTAAAAAAATCTTTTTAAAATTTTTATTTATTTTTGAGACAGAGAGAGAGAGAGAGAGAGAGAAAACATGAGTGGGGGAGGGGCAGAGAGAGAGGGAGACACGCAATCTGAAGCAGGATCCCGGCTCTGAGCTGTCAACACAGAGCCTGATGTGGGGCTTGAACTCACAAACTGTGAGATCGTGACCTGAGCCGAAGTCAGATGCTCAACCAGCTGAGCCACCAAGGTGCCCCAGAAATGATGCATTTAGTGATAGTATCTAAAGTGGTGGGATTGTTGAGATAAGTCTGGGGTTGGGTGTATGTTTGCAAAGAGGTATAAGTCCTGAGGCCTGGGGCATGCTAACATCTAGAGAATGAGAAGAGAAGGAGAATTAGCAAAGGAGACCATGAATTAGAGGAGAACAAAGACAGTGTGGTATTCTGAATTTAATAAGGTGAAATCTCCTTATGGCCATAATTAATAGAGGGAGGATTTACTTTTAGGTTTTTGTTTTCTATTCATATATACATTCATATATATACACACACACATATATATACACACACTTGTGTGGTTTAAAAAATATGATTAGGATCAAATGTACACATGAAATCAACTCTAATCTGTTAAAGTAGAAGGGAAAACTATTTAAGTGTTGAATTTAGAGGAAAATGAAAAAAAATCTTAGGCATGTTGAATAATAGAGTTGAACATTTCTATTATTAATAATTAATTATTAGTGTGTCAGTCTGCAAACACTTCTGATGGCAGTGTTTCCACTTAGGTGCAAAGAATGTCAGCAGAAAACAGAAACACTGTCAGGCAGAAAAGGTTGGACCTGCTCAATTCACAGTCTCTCATTTTGGTGAAAAGGTAAGGTGCGATGCCTACAGTCCTGGATCCTGTTTCTTCTGTGTGTTCCCTACACAGGAGACACAGAGCACTCTCATCTCACGACTCCTACAAAAGGAAATGCCAACTTGCTAACCTGAGTGTTAAACGCCAAGCCTATGTCTTGAAATTTTTGGCTTATTGCCTCATCTGTTTCATGTTCCTATGTGTGCCTTTTGATGCTTTCAAAGTGACACAGAGTTTTTATGCTTATATGGAGGATGTCAGGTAGATACCTAAAGACTTATTTTCAGGAAGAAAAAAAAGTAGGATGAACATTAAAAAGGAGCTTCAAAGAGGCAGGAAAGGTAGAATTAAGAGGAAAAAGTTAAAGTTCATTGGTCTGAAACTATTCACTGAGAAACGCAGGGTTCTGGGCCGTCATCTGATGACCTTAAGTTGGAGGACTCTCCAGGGGAACTCCTGTCCATAGAGAAGAACCAGAACATTGTGTATCTGTACCTCATAACAGTGTATGGATTTTGCTTAAGACTTTGGTTCAAATAACATTCTGCCTCTAAAACATATTTGACTAGCTCTTTTTGGGAAATGCACTGAGGGACCGGGAATCCCAAATTGAACATTATGGCCTTGATGGGGTTGTGAGATCCCTGCTGTGGCGCGAGAAACTAGTCTGTGCTAGGCAGGCGGGGTTTGGTTTAGGGCAACTGCTGTAGAGATGGAGAAAGTGGCAGGAAAAAATGTGTTTATGTTGTCCACTCCCCTAGACAGTGCTGTTTTCATTTCTCTCTGTTTAATTTTAGGTCTTCAGCTCTGTAAAAGCTATCCTCGATCTTTCTGTTTTTCGGAATCAAGTCATTCTAGAAAGTCTGGTAACGGACCTGACAAGGAAAATCCCAACTTTATCCTTCAGTCCTCTGGAACCCAATGGAAGAGTCTCTGTGCAAGGGTCATTTCTGGATATCCTGAGGCTTAAAGAAACTTTGCTATTAAAAGCAAGTTCTCTTTTAGAAAAAAACAGGAATTTTATCAGTGAGGAGAAGTGGAACAGCCAGGGCCCCAAAAGGGATCTCCAGAGAGGCAGTAACTCCTCAGAGTCACCCGGGTCCTCAGTACCTGAGACCACTAGGAGCGGAGAAACACTTGTTCTCGATACAGATGTATTCCTTTATCTGAAAAAGAGCAGATTTTATGAAAGCACATTGAAAAAATGTCATGTTTTCTGTCAGGAGAGAGTGGATGGTGAAATCACCACAATCTGTATAAGAAATGCTCAACAATGTTCTCACCCAAACAATGCAAAGCTTGTGAAAGCACTTATTGAGGAATATTCACTTGCTCTTCACTTTGAGCTTAAAAAAGAGACACTTCTTTTGAAAGGAAAGGAGACTAGAGATAAAAGAAGGATTAAGTCGGCCTGTGAACAAGTAAGTTTGAGGTACCCTAAGGTTCTGATTAATTTTTACGAGACGCACATTGATATTATAGGATCTTCTTCTGACACATACTTGCTTAAAAAAGAGATCATGAAATTAATAAGGCTAAAAAGTTAGGTAATAAAATCTCAGCAATAGTGATAGTGGCAGTCACTCTCCCTTACTGAGCAGAGGCGATGCTGTGTATGATGCTAGCTTTACACACATTAGTCATTTAATCCTTACAACCATCCTTCATTGTAGGCATTGCTATCCTCGTGTTCTAGGGGAAGAACCTAGGATTTGGAGAAGTTAAAACATTTGTCCGGAGTTATCGAGCAGGCAAAGAATGGGGTTAAACTTGGCCTATCTGACTACAAAGATAATATCTAAGTCTTAAAACTTTGAAAAAAAAATCTCATTAAACTTTGAAGAAATCTCACTTTCCCTGCAACCCCAAATTCTTAGAATGTATCTTGCTCATCTCAAAGTAAACAAATGTGATTGTGATGATGTGAACTGTTTAGATGAAAAGAAAATCACAAGACAAATCTCTCTCTATGTTTTCATTTTTCTTAGCCATCTAAATCCCAAGTATTTCCATCTTTTATTTAAAAAAATCGTTTTTAAGTTTATTTATTTTGACTCTACACTGTCAGAGCCTGCCTGGGACCCAGTGTGGGACTCAAACGTATAAACCTTGAGATCATGACCTGAGATGAAATCAAGAGTCGGAGGCTTAACTGACTGAACCACCCAGGCACCCTGTATTTCCATATTTTAAGATACAATATTTCATTGTTGTTTTTGTCAATGAGAAATTGCTCTTTACATCAAGTGCCCAATAAGATGTCTTTAAATTTAAAAAGTGCTTCATTTTTATTTTGCTCCTAGGAGTTTGTCTCAGTCTGGGTTCAGTCAGGAGAGAGAAGGCACGCAGTAATATGAAAAGGGAAAGTTTAATATAAAAAATTGTTAATTGTAATAGGGGATTGGAATAATGAGGAATTGGCTAGGAAGAAATAAAGAGAACTCTAAAAAACATAGGAATAGCAGATTTAAGAAGAGTTTAGGTAGAGCACCATGGAAGAGTCCCCCTCGCCCCCCATCCCAGGACTGAGACCTTGCTGGAGGGTTTGTGCCAGGGGATCTTGCTGGAAATCCATCCTCTAGGTTGCTGGAGGAATCTGTTCAGAGGAAGTGTCTCACCAGAGACATTCCATTACAAAATGCGTTAGAGTAGCTGGGGTAACCTGCTAGTCACTGGGTGTTAATGGCCACCGTGCACTTATAGGGCCTGGGGAGGCCTTGTGTGCTGGCGGCTGGACACCGGAGCAACTGTCCATGCTGCATGAACCTGATGTTGGAGAAGCTGCCCGTGCCGCAGACGTTGGGTATCGGAGGAAGTTTCTTCTGCAGAAAAACCGGATCCCTAATAGCCTGCCAGCTGAACAAGTTGGAGTACGAACAAGACTTTTGTCCTGCAGTGTCTCTCCAGCGCCCTCTACTGAGAAAACAACATCCTATCAGCTATAGAGGAAAAATATTTAAGGGTCCCAGATCCATTTTCACAGAGAAGGCACATAGGATGAATTGAAAGCAGAGTCAATAAGTTGATAACTGGCAGAGTTTAATGAGATACCTACTAAAGCTTTCATTACTATGACAAATTTAAAATCAATAGAATAGTCTTTTTTTTTAAGGAAATAGAAGTTTATTGAATCCACCGCAAGGGTGCGCAAGGGAGCCGCAGGCAGGACAGCAGAGGAGAGGCTGTGTGCCTAATACCAATAGTCTTTAAACAAAGAACTGGGTTACAAAAATGATGCTCATTCCATATTCTGATAGACTTTGATTGACAAGTATGGATATGGCATCTTCTGCTTGAGGAGATTATGTATTTCAGACGTTTTTTACATATTGCTGTGTATTTTAGAGTTAGTTTAACAGCACTTTCCTTATAATATGCTACTTTGTGTAACCAATTTCTATCTTTAATAAAAACTGACATTTTTTCCCAAAGTGGTAGTAGTGACTTATTAAAATTTATTTTTGAAGGTTAGTGATGCCCAGGCAGATGGTGTGAATTCCATCTCGTTGTCAGGCCTAAACTCTGTTGTATGTCTTCCAAGGGGGGAAAAAACCTATCATTTAAGTAGATAATAAGCTGATACTTTTCAGAGAGGCTGCAGTAGTGAACGGAGCCATTATCCAGAAGCTTCAGATCCAGATGGACAAAGGAGAAGAATGGGAGAAAATGTTCGGAGGTACTTGGGTAAGAGAAGCATTCAGGAATTCTTATTGAGCTCATCCTCTGGGACAATCCTTTTACAGGGTTCTGGAGACAACAGTGGGATGTAAGACAGCTATGTTCACTAATTTCTTAGAAGTTATTGCTTGGTCTGACAGAGAAGGCAAACAAGCCATTACCTTAGTGCTTGCTATAGAAGTAGCTGGGATAGGGTAGAGGGGGTGTCAATTCTTTCCTGGGATATGTTAATAATTTTCAAGTTATTAGCATAATTTTCATAAAAAAGATAGTGAGCATGTGTCAAAGCTTTATTTACCTTATTATTGAGGAGTGAACTAGCATAATGACAATACTGTTTCAAAAAGAATATGAGTAATAGAATTTAAAAATCAGTAGCGTGTTAATAAAGATTGCTAAATGGGAAACAAAGCTGATCAATGTTCAATAGTGTTATAAAACTGTGATTTAGGGGTTGTTTTCTCTGCTAGCCAGAAAAATAATCACACTTTATCATGTTTTTTTTTTTTTGAAGTTAAAATTCTAACTGTACAGAGTTGTAAAGTGTCAGTGCCCTAATCAATTTGCGATAATTAAGTGAAACAAAGTTACATTCCCCAAAAGAGATGACCCACGAGTGGGCTTATTGGAGCATGTCTAGCAAGGCATTAAAGGGTCACATAATTATTTTTTGCCTTATTTCTGTGTTTTGAGTAATTTTCTTTAATAAGGGTCAGAAGAAGCTTCCCAGAGGCAAAGAGCTGATGGATGGGTGTTAGCCAAAGGGATGAGGAGGGAGGGCAAAACAGAACTTGGTTTGGTAGATGAACACCAAGTTTAGGGATGACTGACTTTTGACAACTTAGTTTTTGGGTTTTTTTGGTTTTTTTTTTTTAGAATAACTTAAAATACTTTAATTGACAGCTTAGTGTTTACAAATTTTATCTGATGGACAAGATTTCCTTGATTTGTCATTAGAGAGTCATACATACAAATGTCCAATTTCCTTTGTGAATTTCTTCATATAAGCCATGTTGGTTACAATGTATGGAGTTCCCAAAGACAGTAGTTTAAGAAACGTAACTCTCCTGCCTAAATTTCACTACTCTAAGGCCATTTCCTGGTATAAATACTGGCCTATGAAATTAAAAACCCTTTCAACTCCAGTGGGCTCTGTTCTATACTCTCCACTGACCCCTTCTCTCTCATTTTTCACTTCTTCCAAACTGAAGAAAATTTCCTTACCCCATTAGCTTCAGTGTTATCAGCTATTATTGTGAGTTTTTAGAAATCGTAGCAAGTAATACATATTCAAAAATAGTAGTTACTATTCTAAGAACTTGATAGTACCAACACCCCAAGGAAAGCTCCCTCTGCTTAGAATGTCTCATCTCAGGGCTGGAGCCAACATGTGACTCAAGCTAGAAAACCAAGAGTTGTTTAGACTTCTTCCCCTTCTCTCCACTACCTTAGATCAGGGTCATGTCATTTCTTGCCTGGTTTGGTGGGTTGAATAGTATCCCCTCACAGTTCATGTCTATATGGAACCTCAGAATGTAAACTTATTTGGAAATAGGGTCTTTATAGATGTGATTAGATAAGATGATATCTTACTGGATTGGAGTGAGGCCTTATTTGTTGTCCTTATAAGAAGGGGAGAGGACACAGAGACTCAGAGGAGACAGAGGAAATGTTCACGTGACAATGGAGGCTACTGATGTAGCTATAAGCCAAGGAATGCCAAAGATGTCTGGGAACCACCAAGAACCGGAAGAGGCAAGGAAGAATTCTTCCCTAGAGTCTTCAAATGGATCACGATCTTGCCATCACCATGGTTTTAGACTTCTGGTCTCCAGAATTGTGAAAGAATAAATTTCTGTTGTTTTAAGCCACCAACTTTGTGGTAATGTGTTATGGCGGCTCTAAGAAACCAATACACAAGCCTTTTTTCAAATAAGTTCTGGAGAGCCTCTGAATCTTGCAGTTGGTTTTGTGTGGGGGTTCCTGTTGTGTACTCTACACTCAGCTTTCTTGTGACAGTATTTCACAGTACATTTAGTTAGTTGGTTTCTTATCTTCCTTTCCCACTATTGGCCTCTGTGAGGCCAGGAATTTTGTCTTTTTCTGTGTTATTTATCCTCTGTTTATAAGTACTGGCACATAGTAGACATTCCACGAACACTTATGATATGTATGAACAATTTTTGTGCTCCACCCAGAATTTATACAGGGTTTTGAACTAAAATAAGTATCTTATAAATGTGTGTTCCTTGGTCTAAGAATTTTCTTTTTATACAGTATTCCCACTTGCCAATATCATAATACTAACATTAATCTCTTACCCCTTTAGAATGTGTCCTCATTTCCTACTTGTATGATTTCCTTCAATGTAGGAAATTCTGGCAAGAGAAACTCAAATAAGTTATCCCTCCCTTTTATATTCTTCTCATGCAAGTTGGTCAGTAATTGTTCCTGGCAGGAAGGCACTAAGCATGCTCCCTAAAAGTACTTGGGATGGTTCTTTCCATTTGCATAGTTCCTGACTGGGTTTCACCAGTGAGACAAAAAGTCCCTTGTGATTTAATTAGATAGTTGTGAAGTTTTGCTGGGTTTGTCTACTCTTGTATCTGGAGGTCAATGGGGGGGGGGGGGGGGGGGGGGGGGGGGGGGGAGTGGTGGTTCTCAATGTCTGTAAACAGTCTACACATTAGTGCTTGATATATTAAAATATTTAACTAGCAGAAAATACTATATAGCCTATGTATGTGTGTCAAGACTGTCCTGCAGTTAACGTATTTCTAGCAATACTGAGAAAAGCAATAGGAGCAGAATATGCTTCCTTTTGATTTTTTATGAAATTTAATCCTGGAAGAAATTAGTCTAACAACTA